CTTCTCTTCACTTTTGCCAACTGAAGTAAACGTCAGCATTACCTAAAACTATTGCTTCATACTTCTTTCAACACAACATCTTCTCTCAAAATCAAATATGTGGGCTCCTACTATCTCAGTCAGTTTCTCTCTAGAGTTTCTTTGGTGCCCCAGAAGAGCTTTCGGTCCCTACTTTTTCTCTTCATGTATCTGCCAGACTTATTTCTTACACCAGGCTTCCAAAAAGGAAAGGGGAAAAAATGCTCTGCTTTCCTGATCACCTACAATGCTGCTGTGCTTGCAACCAGCAGCCTGTAAGCTCTGTGCCTTCAATTTCTATCTTGCAAAAGCCATAAACGAACCTTCCCCACTCACTCGTCCCCAAAAGAGAGGTAATACCCTATCCTAGCTTTCCTATCAATGGTATTTGCTACTGAGTCCAAGTGCTCCGTAGACAGTGCGTCAACACCAGCACATCAATGCAATAACTGGTTTTCCTCTCCCACCGGTTTCAAATAATGTTCAGTGCCTGAGCAAATTAAAATGTATTTCAGCTTGCTCTGGTTTTTATCCCATTCCAATACTCCAAATGCATAGCAACTTTAAGCTCCTCATCCCTCCACAGTTCCAGGAAATCCTTCAATCAAAGAACTTCATTTGCAATCCAGCACAATTTTCGTCCTCCCCTCTTCCCAACAACAGCTAGGCATTTTGATGCAATCCCCATTAAATGGAATCTCCATTACAGGCTTACGATTGCATTAATAAAATGCTCCATATGTTTTTTTTCCTTTCGCTTCTCTCCCTCTCTCATAGGTATTATGCACTATGTCTGCAAACCAGCACCAAATCAAACTGGCTGGTGGAAGGCACTGGGGAAAGGGGGTGCACGTTCAAGAAAACGTTAACTGAAACCTGATCAAACTGTGCATCACAGACTCAATCTGTAGGAGCCCCTCATCCCTGAATAGTGCAAATTAGCTCAGCGTTCCTGCAGTAACACAGATCATAAATGTGACACATTACAAAGCTTAAACATGTATCTTGCAATTACTCGGAAACTCCATGTGCTCCTCACCATAGATGACTTACATTTTACTTAACCACTTCTAGCCTAATAATCTTCAATCTGGAGGCACTGCTAGCAGTGTGTTGTGAGGGGGGTGAGTGATGAAAAATGCAGAATGTTAATCAACCCCCTCTTACCTTTAATTCCTTGCCTTCGCTGCAAAAGATGTCAAGCTACATTGGCTCCTCAGCACATCAACAAGGCGTCTAGAGTAATGAAGGCTGCCCCATCACATGGAAGTTAGACCAGTTTACACCAGCAAATCCTTGATCCAAAATATAAGCTGCTCCTTCCCATGCAGGCTAGAGCAAAAGATGCATGAACGATTTCCACAGAGGGCACACAATTGTGGAAGAAAAAGGCAGCCTAACTTTTAGCTAAGTCTTGATTTGAGTTTGGCTTTATGTTTTTGCAGCTGTAAAAGGCAAATGCAATTCCACATTAAAAGAACCACCTTAATGTCAGTCCGCAACGCTGCTCTTGGTTAAGCTAAGTTGTGCTGTGAGACTTTTAACTAAATCCCCGTCTGCAAGAGCAGTCCAGCAAATCTCTCTCTTTAGGCATAAAACAGAAAGAGGAACGTTAGGTCTATTTGAGGGAAAGACGACAGAGGATCCTTGTTTGCCCCTCTTTGACACAGACTGGAAATTGTGCACAGGAGCTGTCCGGTCCGGCTGGCCCCTGCAAGCGCAGAGGCTGTGGGTGTCGGAGAAGCAGCACCCGGGTGCTAAAGCATCGGATGGCTCAGCTCTGCTGCCGCCGTCTGAACTCCGCTTCCCAGTGCTGCCAGCAAGTCCTCCCCGGCTGACATCACTGCGAAAAAGGAGGGGCACAAATGGAAAATGCAAATCGGGGAGTTGAGGGGATTTTTTTCCTCTTAAAGGTGCCCTGGCGCTTTCTCTCGCTGAATCCCCCGAAAGCAACAGCTGCGGCGTGCGGCCGCGTCTGCCCCCTGCCAGGGCTGCTCTCTGGGGGCGGAACCTCTCAGCAGGCACCGGGGGGCCCTCCCGCCCGCAGCGGCCCCAGCCAGCCC